TTGATTGAGTTTCCTTTTGGTACAAGGGTGATGTTTGGAGGAAGCCTTGCCCCAGTGGGTTGGTAACTCAAGTTCCCAAGTGGGTTGTAGGCTAAGCCGCTTCTTCTCTGTTGATTCAGTTATCTTTCTGATTCTCTTCCCCTGAGAAATTGGGTGATTGAGAATGGCGGGTGAGGATGGAGAATCAACCCATCGATTTTTCGCGCACTTTTCCAGTTCTAAGGGTTGACTTTTGTCAGGATCTTGACAGCTGTCATTCTGAGTACTTGGCGATCAGCGTCGCTCGGAGGGTAGGTGATCCATGTGCGGGTTTCCCCGTCCCTCGGGAAGCGGGTCGCCAATTTAACATATGGTCCAAGGGACCTTTCATGAAACCCAAAGGAAGCCAACCAAAACACCCACATGGGTCAAACATAGGGTGACCCCTACATGGTTTGCGCTGATCAAGTGGCAACAAGGACTAAAACCTGTGGACACCCATATTTCCACAAGGGATAATGAGTCCCAACGATTGATAGGTGGGAATGTCTTTTTGGGTCTTTACACGGTTTTGGGTAGATGTTTTAAATACCAGGTTTTGATTGTGACTCCGTGAGAGATGTTGGTGGTGATTATGGTGATCAGTATGAATAAAAGTACTGTTCAGGTTGCTTCTCTTTAAGGGTTCTCTGTTGTGCGACAGGCTCATGTCGCAGCCTCTTGCAGACCGCTTCTATCAGCCTATGTTTGGGGATTCAGAACAGGCACCCCGTTTTAAAGTGCGGTGGGGGCTCAAAATGCCTCGCTTCAAGGGAGCGGATCAGAATGTGCCTTGCGTGGTCCGATTTCGCCAGGCCAGCGGGAAAGACGCCTGGTGCCGCTTCCTCTGAGGGTGCCCGGCGCCGATTCGTTTGCTGATGGCTCGCCGCGCAAGGGAGCCAGCGACGAAAGTGTGGAGGGTGGGTAGTTGGGCGCGTTGGTAGTGCGGGGGGGGGGGGGGTTCATACAGTCGATTCGGGGTGAATATATGTCTTGAAGATCCCTCTTGCTCGGTCGTTTCAGCATGTTCCGGCTGCGGGGGGGGGGGCCTTGGCAATCAAATTGTTAGGGCATCTCGCTCCTGACCAGAACCAGCCAGCAAAAGTGCGTGTCCTAAAACATGCAGTTTCCCTTATAAACACCGTGCCAAAAGAGGTCATCGATGTGCACCTCAATCAGTCCTCCACAGCAAAAACAAAACACTAGAAATGATTTCTTGAAGGGCTCGTTTAATATTCCACGGTTCTGCTTATCGTGTTTTCACGCTTTTGATGTCTAAAAAAAGTAGAACATCTCCCAAGCCGAATTACTACTCTGCGAAGGGGGTCCCTTTACTTGGCCATGCTCAGAGGAATCCAGATACGCTTGGGAATCCTTCACTCCATATAGGAGCATATTTTTCTTTGTCCCAGGAACCAACTTTCTACTGTGGTGACAGTTTGAATCTGCAAGGGACACATGGAAGTGTCAACTTGATCCAAACAGTTGAAGCTTTTGCTACTGACGGAAAACATTTGGCACAGGCTGGGTGGTTTGGCTCCTTGGGTTTCATGGTTTCATCCCAGATTGCGCGGATTTCCATCGGAGCAATCCGGGTGAATTCATCCGGCACCTTTGCAAACCAAAATCCGATCCGAGGTGACCAGCCTGCAGCCCAACTCCCCCTATGATGTTCAGGCGCAATCGCTGCCTGCGGGGTGGAGGGGAGAAATGGGGTGGTGTAGTGTCCTTGGTGTTGCGACCATCTCCATGAAGATGCCTTCATAAGGATCACTTGTTTTCAGTGGGTGAATTGTCAAAATTGAGCTCAGAAAGATGCATTTGGAGCATGATATCATGTAGTATGAAACATGGGCAATATTCACTGGAGGGGTATTTATTTTAGGATTTTTTTCCCTTTTGGCTTCTTGGCTTCTTGGCTTCTTAGCTTTTCGGCTTTTCGGCTTCTCGGCTTCTTGGCTTCTCGGCTTCTGGGCTTCTCGACTTCTGGGCTTCTGGGCTTTTCGGCTTTTTGCTGGTTTATGCGGCTTTTGGTGGCTTTTTGGCTTTTCGCATCCTCTGCATTCCCAGTTCCTCTTCGGCAGGTGGTGGCGTTTTGGCTTTTGCGGCTTTTCGCTGGTTTATGCGGCTTTTGGCGGCTTTGGCTTTTCGCATCCTTCGGGCTTTTTGGCTTTTGCGCCCTTTCATTGGTTTTTGGATTTGGCTTCCCGCATCATCAGCATCACCATCACCCTATTTGAATCATCACTTCTTCGGACATCATGGGGGGGGAACCCCCCCCAGATTGTTTGCAGAGTGATTGCACCCCTATTTGAATCAACTCTTCTTCAAACATCATGGGGCGGGTTGCCGCCTCCCCCCCGTTACTTTTTAGATTTCTTGCGGAGGTTGAATTGCACCCCTGTTTGAATCATCACTTTTTCGAGCGTCCAATTTCGCGAGAAAATGCTGCAAAATACGACATTTTAGGTAATCTGTGTAATCATCCATGTATGTCTGTATGTATGCATTTCTTTGAACATCATAGGGGAAGCCACCCCCGCCAACCCTCTCGCTGCCTTTTAAATTCTATCGCACCCTTTCTTGAATCATTGCACCCCTACTTGAATCATCACTTCTTCCGGGGGGCTGCCGCCCCCCCCAACCCCCCCGCTACGTTTTAGATTTTCAACAGAGATTTAATTGCACCCCTAGTTGAATCATCAATTCTTCGAACATCATGGGGGGGGCTGCCGCCCCCCCCAAACCCCCCAGCTAGTTTTTAGACTTTTTGCAGAGATTCAATTGCACCCCTATTCGAATCATCACTTCTGCGACCATCATGGGGGGGGCTGCCGCCCCCCCCCCAACCCCCCCCCCCCCCCCCGCTTTTTTTGTTTTTTACTGGGATTGAAATGCCCTCCTGTTTGAATCATTATTTTTTTGACCCCGTCAACCCGCCAGCTACTTTTTGCATTTTGTTACCCACGATTTGTTGGTGATGCTAGGGATGTTGGTCGGACATGCGGGGGATGTTGAAAACGATTCTGGGGATGTTGACGGGCTAATGTAAAATGCGTCAATTTCGCGAGAAAATGCTGTAAAATACGACATTTTACTGGCCCGGACGAAAAAAAAAAAAAAAAAAAAAAAACGAAAAGAATCCCAAAATAAATCCGCACCCATATTCAATAGGCTTTTGTACTTGTCCAACAAAGCAATACCCAAGCTTCTTCCTCAACAGATCTCAAAATGGCTGCTGACCACGGGCATGGATGACGCGATGAGTGTTGAATCGAGCCTTGACCTCTCCACGGATATCATGAGAAAAGAGCAGAGACCATGAAAGGTTGGCAAGCAAGAGTTGAACCCACTGGATCCTGGTAAGACGTTAAAATCAAACTGATACGACAAGTGCAACAAGAAGAGCAACATGCAGTTTGACAAGAAAGAAAGAGAGAGAGAGAGAGAGAGAGTGAGAAACAAGGAAAGAAAGAAGGAATCAAAGAAAGAAAGGAAGGAAGGAAGGACAGGAAGGAAGGACAGGACAGGACAGGACAGGACAGGACAGGACAGGAAAGGAAAGGAAAGAAAAGAAAAGAAAAGGAAAGACAGGAACATAAGGACAATAACATCAAAGACAAGCAAAGACAAGAAAGAAAGAAAGAAAGAAAGAAAGAAAGAAAGAAAGAAAGAAAGAAAGAAAGAAAGAAAGAAAGAAAGAAAAAAAGAAAGAAAGAAAGAGCAATAAAGCAAGACAGAAAGGAACAATAAATGAACAAATAAGAAAACAAAGGAAGACAAGAAAGACTAAGCGAAGAAACAAAAGAAAGAAAAGAAGGAAACAAAAGAAAGAAAGACGCGAAACTAAAGAACAATAAAGCAAATGAAAAAACAAACAAACAAAAAAACAAACACACATTACCATAATTTAAATACAGAAAACACAGAAAATACAGAAAGTACAGAAACAGAACGAAAGGAAGCAACCGATATAAGTGAAGCACATATAGGATACGATAAGACAAGAAAATACAGAACAAAAGAAGGAAATAAATAAATAACAAAAGAACAACATAATGAAATAAAGAAAGAAAGAAAGGAAGGAAGGAAGGAAGGAAGGAAGGAAGGAAGGAAGGAAGGAAGGAAGGAGGGAAGCAAAGGACGTGATAGTTATGAAATGAGATGCTGAGTAATGTTGTGCTATAGGTTCCTACCTGGGAGCTACTTTTGGAGTTTCTCTGACGTCAGGTATAAAGACTACACTTTTTTGACAACAAGAGCCAATCCTGCAGAAGTTGAATGCGATGCAGTTTGGGCTTAGGGTTTAGGGCTTGGTGGAGGGAAGTTGCAATGGGCATCCCTGGGAAAACATAGTACGGGCGCCCCAGGCTTAGGTGCTCGACAGGCACAAGGCCCCCAGTAGCTCTGCTCCCTTTTGTTCATCGCGCCGTCAGTGGTGTTGGTTTTTTCATGCCACATGTTTTCCTTTGCTGCTTGGAGGCAGGGCCGTTTCTACTTGCCCTCGGAGTTTCGGCGAGTGATCGGCTTTCAACTGAGAGTTGGGCCATGCGCATCCAGCGACACGGCCAGATTTTCGAGCTCTGCACGGACTCGGCGGCAGATAGCGCCGCTGGCACGCCGGAGCAAGTGCTTTGGACCCTGTCCGGGTCTCGGCCTGGGGCGAGGCTTGTGGGCTCGTGCCGACCGGATGGTCAGTTGAAGACCTTCCCCCTACCGTGCAGTTTTCCCAGACTCCTTAAAAGATACATTTTACCCATTTAAAACATACTTTTTCCACCCAAACAAAGGGAAACCACCATTTACAAGGCAATGTTCAGGTGTATAATGTAAGGATCCCTGTTTCCGCTTGGAGTTATGCCAAACTTGTCCCAAACATGGAGGCAGCGCCATAAAGCGACCAGGCCTAAGTATGGAACCAATCTCCAACATCGAAATGAGAAAAGCAGGCGACGTTCGGATGTTTCTTGTCAGGAGGCCTGATGAGGCGAGGTGGGGAAACTTGCGTGTTCGGTGTGTAGGAAGGTTTAGGGGTGCTGCAGCTTGACTTCGAAGCGGCACTTCAGGCTTTGAAGCATTTCTGAACAGAAGATGTGGAGAGGGTGCGGCCTCACCCTGCTCGTTTTTTTTTTTTTTTTTTTTCTCGCTTTTTTGTTGTTGTTGAATATTCTATTGTTAAGACTGTCTCCTGAATCTGCCGGTGCCATGTAGGTCTGATAGAGCCTTTCAACACCTTCTGGCATCAAGTTAAATGACAGGGGAGGTAGGGTTGATGTGGCAACTACTCAAAGCGGCAACGACGCGTAATTTACAGTGATTCGAGAGTTGTTTTCCACCATTCTATGCAGTTTGGTTGGAGTTTGCTTGGTGTAAACCGTAGGATCGCACCTGGGGCACTCACCAAAAAGCCACACTTGAGCTTCCGCGTTCGTTCAGCATTCAGCTGAGGCCGGGGTATTGGGACATCCACATCCCGCCCAATTCGGGATCGAGCTATGTGGTGGAAGACACCATGGAGGACCACGATTTGGTTGCGCCAATTGAAAGCCCTCAGGTTATGTTGACAGAAAACAAATTGCCAAAGTGAAGGTTGGCCTGACATCCTCTAGAAAAGTCAACCGGTTGATTCATCCTGGGTTAGCATTACACTCACGCCTGGCTTTGATTCCACTTGGGGTAATCCGACGATAGACTGGCAAAGAGGCGGCTGGCTCTTGCAAATATTGCTTCTGACAAAAGGCAACGCAGCCCCTTTTCATGATTTAGTGATAAATACTGCCTGTGTGCGCATGCAAACAGCAAGACGATACGTGGTTCCAGTCAGGGTCCATGTTTGGCTGGGGGGGAGGGGGGTGCAAGAGCCTAAGCAGAAATCCACGTTGACAAGACCCCCACACACGCGCACACACACACACCACACAGACACACACACACACAAACACATACACACACACACACAAACACCCACACACACACACAAACACACACAGACAAACACACACACACACAAACACCCACACACACACACAAACACACACACACACAAACAAACAAACAAACAAACAAACAAACAAACAAACAAACAAACAAACAAACAAACAAACAAACAAACAAACAAACAAACAAACAAACAAACAAACAAACAAACAAACAAACAAACAAACAAACAAACAAACAAACAAACAAACAAACAAACAAACCAAACAAACAAACAAACAAACAAACAAACAAACAAACAAACAAACAAACAAACAAACAAACAAACAAACAAACAAACAAACAAACAAACAAACAAACAAACATACAAACAAACAAACAAACAAACAAACAAACAAACAAACAAACAAACAAACAAACAAACAAACAAACAAACAAACAAACAAACAAACAAACAAAACAAACAAAACAAAACAAACAAACAAACAAACAAACA